TTTGAGGGCTGGGTGGGGTGGGCCGCCGCGTGCTGTCTCTCGCGCGTGGGCCCTCCCCGCGTACGTCGGAGGTGGCGGCGGCCCTGTCCACGGTGCTCCCGCTGCTCGCGATCCTGATCCTGTACTGGACGGGGGTTGAGGAGGAGGAGGAGGAGGAGGAAGAGGAGGAGGAGGAGGAGGAGGAGGAGGAGGAGGAGGAGGAGGAGGAGGAGGGCGAGGGCCGAGGAGAGGAGGAGGAGGAGGAGGAGGAGGAGAGGAGGAGGCGAGGCCGAGGAGGAGGAGGAGGAGGAGGACGAGGAGGAGGACCAGGAGAAGGACCGGGAGGAGGACGAGGGGTTGGGGGCGGAGTCGAAGAGGAAGAAACTCCATAAACTTAGATTTTGGGGCCTCCGCGCGGATCTCTTGGATCTGCGCTGGCCGCCCCTGGCGGCGCCTCTGGCGCCGCCCCTGGCGCGCGGAGCGCGTCAGGGAGGGGGGGCCCAGAGCAGATCCAAGAAATCTGCGCGGACCGTCGAACATTTATGTTTATGTTTTTTCCTCTTCTATGGAGGAGAGAGGGGATGGCAAGCTAGCAAGCGTCAGATCTGACGTCCTCCTACCCCCCCTTCCCATCCCTTACCATTATTTCGTAGATCTCCTCTCTATTCGCACAGCTGGATGTCGAACAGTGCAATGAATGATCCCAGGAGAGCGCGACGCATGGTATAGTACGGCGCAGCATGGCATCGGGGACAAGGTTTCGAAGAAGATGGGAAGGGGAGGCGGATGGGGGGTGGGGAGGGCAGGGGCCGCGTTTGGATACTTGTGGGGGGGTCGGCTCAGTGAGGAACGCATCGACTTCGAATCGCGCATTGATCGCCGGTAGGGGATTGGGGAGTCGAACAAGAAAACGCTGCGTAAACATACATTTTCGGAGCTCCACATGTTACTGTTGATGCAGCGTGTTCTTCCTCCCGGGGGGAGGTGGAGGTGGCCGGGCGGGGCTAGGACGAGGATACATCCGTTCCAGAGCGTTCTGGGACACTCTCAGAGCGTTCTGGAACGCTTTGAGAAGGCCGCGGCGCCCGAGACATTTTTCAGAGCCGACGGATCTCATACATTCTCGACTTGTCCTCATCCGATGTTATACTCGTCCTGGCTGTGTCTTAGAGTTCAGTCGGGCATGTCCCTCTACAGGAGGAATATTACAGAATAGCAGAACAATGGTATGGTGACGATTGTCCCTGCTCTCTGGACTATTTTCGACTATTGTTCGACTCGTTTTCGCCCCTCCTCCACAATCCGCCTGTAAGAGGACATGCCTGGCCGAATCCTAGAGGGGAGGCCAGGGGCCACGTTTGGGGGGGACGAGAGGAGGTCGGGGGGGCCACGTTTGGGGGCGTGGTCGGCCCATTGGGGGGGACGCATCGCCCCCTCATCGCCGATGGGGGCCCGCCAGCCCCAGCCCGCCCAGGAAGATGCGGCTTTGCTGTCGGGGGCCTATCGCCGGTCCATCGGCGATGTATCGCCGCTTCCGGGTCGATGCTTCCCCCCCTAAGGCAGTCCCTCGCCTACCGTTGCCCCTCACGATTGGAGGGCGTCGGGGCGTCTCAGGAAACCCTCTGGCCTTCTGAGAAGGTTTGTCTGTGTCTTCGGGGAAGGCTTAGGGAACTCCTCAGAGGACCCGAGGCCTTCCGAGCTTTTCTGAGAAGGCCAGCACCCTCTCGCTTCCCCCCCAGGCTGGCCGCCGAGGAGAACGAGAATGCACACAACAGAACTTTCGCCCTCCGGGTCGGCTTGCTGAACGGGCTGGCGGTGGGGCGTCGGCACGCACGGCCTCGCCAGGAAGGGGAGGGGGTCCTGGAGAATGGGAATAGGCATGGGCCCCATCGCGGTGCAATATGATTCAACACTCTAGAGGCCGCCCCTTGAGCTCACCCACGAAGAAAACGAACCAGAAGACGGACCTCAGCGCGGGTACATGGCCAGAGCTTGAGGAAGACGAGCATCCCGTACATACCTCAAATGGATGCCTCACCACACATTGATAGCGTAACAAACTTGGCTGAAATGAACACGGCTCGATTCGGGTCTATTATTATGTGCACCACAGGTAGACCGCTGTTGTTCTCACGATGCGTCCCACCTCGTCGCCTAGAAAAGCCGCACTCACGGTGCGGCATCCTGGGCGTCCCCCGAGCGCCACGTGGCGGCGTGGGACGTGACGTCGAAGCTGCCCAGAGCCCAAATGTGCACGGAGAAGCCCCGAGCCTCGAGTGCTTGAGGGAGGGCGTCCAGTACGTCCTGCCCCCCCCTCCCATCCCTCACCGTGGCGCTGATCTCCTCTATCCGCGGACGCGTGTCGTAGCGGACCCGAGGCTCCGCGCGCGCGTGGCGCAGTGGGTGGTGGTGCGCGTGCGGGGTCCCGGAGAGGAGGGGCCACGGTGAGGGGTCTCCCGGGGGGCCTCCCCGGCCCCGGGCCTGCCCGAGCACGGCTCGTGGCGAGGCCCCGAGGACCGGGGCCCCCATCTGGGGGCCTTGGCCTTCGCCGTCTGGGGCTCCGGATGGAGACCCGCGGGTCGGGGAGTGCAGCCCGCAGCAGGCGCGGCCTGCCTCCAGAGAGTTTTCGTCCGCCCGCTCCGCCCTGCCTGCCCTCCCTCGCCTCCCTCGGCGCAGCTGTTTCGTGGCACGGGCCCCTGGGCATTCTCTCTCTCTCTCTCTCTCTTCGGCAGCAGGCCGCGGGAGCCGTGTGCGGTCTCTCGGTTCTGCAGGAGGGGAGGAAACACACACACGCAGACACAACTGACCCTCGATTCCCAAGAACAAAAAGGTAGCATATGGGAATGGGGGGGAAGACCCAAACCCAGAGCACGTGGGAAAACATGGGGCATCCTGTCATTTGTGTCTATTCATTTGTGTGCCCCAGGGCCCCTTCAGTTCTGGCTCTGGAGTGCACTCGCGTCGATCGGCATCTGGCAGTCGGTGAGGTATAGCGCCGATGTGGCGCCGACCAGCGTCGACAAGCGTCGACGAATGCCGATTTGGCATCGGTTAGCGTCTATTCGCGAGAGCCAACAAGAGGGTATGGGAGGCTCCCGCGAGTTGCCGCAGAAGTGCTCGTCCGGACCCTTTTTCCTCATGCCGACATCCTCATGCCTCCAGATAGTTTGCGCTTCCTGGCTGGCCTCTGCTCCGAGGAGGCCGGCAGGAGCGCGGCAGCGCCCGAGCGGCGCCGCGTGGGGGGGGTGCGCAGGCTCATCCCCGACGCGCGGCAGAACGAGAAGATCATCGATGCCAGCGACGACGCCACCACGGGTGCTTGCGGGCTTGGCTGGGCAGGGGTCGCGGCCGTCCGTCGCGCAACCAGTCCTGGCGGCGGCAGACTGCATTACATAAGTATCGTTTGACCGACCCCCATCCCCATCCCCTATCCCCTTCGAGGCCCCCACCAAGTCACCCCCCCAGTTGGGGATACACCCCTCGAAACCCGAAGGGAACGGCCTGTCTCCCCATCCAGGGGGGTAAATCGGCCAGTGGGGCCCAGGCCACGCCGCTGGGGATGGCGGTCGGATAGACGATGCTCAGACTTCATGGCGCCTCTCATATCATTTCATTGCGTTCCTGGCCCCCCCCTGGGCCGCGCACGTGCCGCCGGCCATGGTTTGCGCCCCGCCTCCTGGACGCCCCCCTCCCTGGCCGCCCCCGACGTGCATTGGAGGAGGAGCACGGACCCCCGCCGCCGAGAGTCCCTCGGTCGGGAGGCCGCCCCATGGGCGGTGGCACGGCCGAGCGTCGCCCAGCACAGGACGACGCTCCGGTGCGCCACCGCCCAGGATCAGCCACGCGCAGAGGGGGGTGGGGGGAGGGGGGAGGGCTTCTTCGAAGCACCCCTGCTGCTCAGAAGGCGCGGGCCCTATCTGTGGATGTAAGGCCGGCGCCTTCTAAGAAGCAGCTTCCTTCTAAGACGCCCCCCCTCCCTCCACCCCCCTGTGCGCCACCGCCAACAGGAGTCGGTCCAACCCCGATGGGTTCTCGGTGGCGGTGGTCTGAGTTTCTCCTCTGACTGCAGTGAAGTCGGGCCCGTCCCTCTAGAGGACAAATTCCAAAACAGGCAAACCAAACATTGGAGACGATTTAGATCTTTTGTCCATTGTAGAGCATGTTTGGATTTTTTATTTTCCCCAAAAAATCCGCCCGTGGGGAGAAAAGCCCGATCTGAGACTGCAGGCTGCCGAGACGGGGGCGCCAGCTGGCCCTTCGTTGTGGCGTGGGTGACGCGCGACGTGGAATGCACTCGTCAAGCCAACCCCTATCGGGAGTCGCCGCGGGCTCCCGTGCCGTTTTCGGCCTCTGGGGACCGCTCTCGGGCCGGGACAGTGGAGAACGGATCTGGGGCGTAACTCAGCTGCACAGGATGGACCCTCGGGGGGGGGGTTCCAGGGGCCGATTTTGATGGGATTTGGCTTCATCCCCCCTCCTGATTTTGAAGGCCTTGCGGCTGGTGCCGCCGACCCTGAAGAAAAAGAAAACAATGATGAAGGTGACAGCCAGAGTTCTTTTGGAAGATTACGACCATACGCCCCGACAAGTTTCCCTGAAGTCCCACGAGGTTACCAAGAAGCGTAAGACGAGGAGCATAGCTTGGCCAAGTTATGTGCCTGTGTGCTTTCGCAGAAGAGGGGAGGAATTAGGAGGGAGGAGGAGGAGGGGAGGAGGAGGAGGAGGAGGAGGAGGAGGAGGCGGAGGTGGAGGCGGAGGCGGAGGAGGAGGTGAAGGAGAAGGAGGAGGTGAAGGAGGAGGAGGAGGTGGAGGAGGAGGAGACCTTTTGGGAGCCTTTTCGGGGCCCTGGGAGCCTCCTCAGGCTTCATGGCGGCCTCGTGCCGCCGTCCGGGACCGTTATGAAGGTATCTAGTGGCCATCTTAGGCCAGACGGGGACATCTTCGCCGTGCTTGAGGGCATCTTGGATCGTCTTGGCGGCAAGGCGGCGCTATCGCTGACCATCAGGGAGGCGAGCCTGGTCGTGTCTGAGAGAATTCTGTGGGAGCACTCTGGGGGCTCTCTCGGGTCGTTCTGACGATTTCGGGCAAGGGTTAATCCCGCCACCGTGCCTTGGTATGACGCTGTTGGGGACCCGCTGGAAACTCTTTTGGAGCTCTCTCCAGGCTCTGTTGGAGGCTTCTTGGAGCTCTCTCCGGGCTTCTCTGAGAGTCCCACAATGCCTGAAGAGTGGCCCCGAAGGGCACCAAGAGGTCCCAAAAGGCCTAAGAGGGCCCCATGATGGTTCCCGAAACAGCCCGCAACAGTGTCATACCAAAGGTCCCTGGTATGATATTGTCGAGGGCTCGCTTGGCATTCTGTGGGGGCCCTCTGTGGGCTCTCTTGGGGCGCTAGGGCGATTTCAGGTCCCTCTTGGATTATCCAGCGGCCTGCAGTCCATCCCGCCATCGTGCTTGGGTAGCGGGTCAGAACCATCATGTATGTTTCTTGGGATCTCTTCGGAGGGCTATCGGGGGTCTCTGGAAGCAGCTTAGAGGCCGCTTGTGAGCCTCTTGGGAGCCTCTTGGGAGCGTCTTGGGGCTTCCTGGGGGCTTCTTGTAGGCCTCTTGGGGCCTCTTTGGGGCCTCTTGGGGGCCTCTTGGGGCCTCCTGGGAGCCTCTGGGGGCGGTGAGCTTGAAATGTCGGTTCCTGTTCGCCTTCTGGGGTCTCTCCTGGGGCCGTCTTGGAGACCTCTTGGGCCGTTTTTGGGAGCCTTTTGGGCAGTCTGGGCGCTCGCTGAACGGCCTCGTAGGCCGTTTTTGGGCGATGTAGAAACGCGAAAGTCGGTCGGTTGAAAACCAATGGTAATTCAATAATTGTTGTGCCTCTTGGAGGGCCATCTTGGGCGTCCTGGAGCAATCTTTCAGCGACCCTGGGCCCTCTTGGGCCCCTCTTGGAATATCTTGGACCTGATCTGCCGAAGCAGAGCCAAATTTGATCGAAGGCGGCCCGACAAGGGGAGGGGCGGACCGTATTCTGACCCGGGACTCCCCCCAGGATCCCCCCCGGGACGCCCCCCCCGCCCTTGGTGGGGAATGGATCAAAGGAAAGTGGCTCCCCTTCGACTTAATTACGACTTCGATTACGACCCGGCTCGATTCACCTCGAGTTGACGAGCTTGGTGCGCCGCGCCCAAGAGGGTGATGCAGCTGGGCGCGCCCTGGAGAACGCCAAAGGGTGTTACGAAGACGACTAGCCCAGAACTCCCCTCACACATGCCGGTAGGATCGGCGGATTTTCTGGGGTCCCAAGAGCGTGTTTCTTTATTGCTTGGGGCATCTTGAGCATTATAGCCCCCGCCCTCCCCCTTTCCCCCCCCTATAATGTAACGCCCCTCCCCCCCCAGTGCGCTCTGGGCACTGCCGCCGTGCGCATCGGGCACACGGCGGGGGGGAGGCGTTAATGCCGATGATCGCCGAAAATAAAGAAACGCGCTTCAACCAATTCAGACCACCCGGCCGCCTCCAACGCGGAGGCCCTCTTGAGATGTTCTCTGCGCTGTGTTGGGCAGGCGGGCGCCAGGCAGGAGCACTCTCACGGGGTAGCTGGGGGAATGTCTGGCCACCTCGTGATTCCAGTGGTGCTCTACTGGAGCCGTTTGGCTCAAGGGAAATCAGTTGCCATCAGGCGGGTAAGTGAAAGACGTCGGTATTGGGGTAATTTCGTTGTCCCTGATGATGCTGGAACGTAGCCTTGTTGTAGTGCGCATGCTAGCGGAGCGGGATAAGACTGGCAGCAGCTCCAGCACAAGGATCAGCCGAAGCAAAGGCGCCGATGAATCGAGAGCAATGGCGTTGTTAAACTTGTATGCGTAACATAACATGTTAGCCATCGTGGACCCCAAATCGTATGATTATACAATGTGATGTTGTGCCATCTATGTTGTGCAATCGATGTGGTGCAACACATGCCATGCAAATGTGTGGTACAAGTTTTACGGTTCAGTATATGTAGTTCTATCTTCGTTGTACACTGTAGGTTGTGTAGCATATGTGGTTCAATATACGCCGAGCAACATATGCAGTGCAACCTATGTTGTGTTATAGATGCATGTATATCTATGTATATTGTGCGATCTATGTTGTGAAATTTATGTGGTGCAGTTGGCGTGGTGCAATTCACCTTGACTGTCTCGAAGCTGTCTTCTCCACTGCTCGTGCACACATCCCACCCTTTCACACGCAACTTGGTCTCAAGACCCCTTAAGACCTTGACGGTAGGTACCAAATGGCATTTGGCAACGACACCGGCGCCGACGACGACAGCGACAACGACGACGCCGACGACGACTACGACGACACCGACGACGACCCCGACGACTTCGACGACGACGACCCCGACGACTTCGACGACGACGACAACGACGACACCGACGACGACGACGCCGACGCCGACGACGACGAGGACGATGACGACGCCGACGACGAAGACGACGACGCCGACGACGACGACGACGCCGACGACGATGAAGACGACGACGACGACGCCAACGAAGGCGACGACGACGGCGAGGGAGGAGGGAGGATGACAACGGCGACAACGACGACAACGCCGAGGGAGGATGGAGGACGGCGACGACGCGAACGACGAAGAAGGAGGGAGGACAGCGACGCCGACGACGACAACGACGAGGGAGGAGGGAAGACGACGACGACACCGGCGACGAAATAGGATGAACCACGACGAGACGCCGACGACGGACGACGACGACGACGACGACGACGAGGGAGGGGGAAGGACGACCACGGCGACAACGACGACGGAAACGACGACGACGCCAAAGAGGACGACGACGACGAGGAAAGAGGACGACGACGGCGACGACGACGACGAGGGAGGACGGAGGACGGCGACGACGACGACGACGCAAGAGCGGCGCGCACGCTTTTGTGGAACATCCGTGTCGCGAAACCCAGTGTTTTTGTATGTTTTTTGGGCACTCGATTTTGAAACATTTCCGACACCGAAGGTTTTTAAAGGATTGCGGCATGCGCGCGCGTGCACTTCGTCCCGTTTTTTGCAGAGGATTCGCGCGACGGCACGCGCGCAAGGGCGTTCGAACGATTTCGACATGCGCGCGCGAAGCCCGTGTAGTAGCATTTTCTGAACACCTTCAAACATCATGATTTTCTAAAGAATTCGCAAGAGCGCGCATTTTGTTCATTGTTTTTTCCGTGTTGCGAAACCATGTTTTTTTAATATGTTTTTTGGACACTCGATTTTGACGAAAGTTTGAAGGATTTCGGGAACAACGTCAATTCATTTGCAAGGGATTCTTGAACACTTCTGATTCCTCTCGCTTCGCGGGGTGCACGTCCGGAGTGCGTACAGTGAATTCGTTTTGGGGGATCTCGGGAGTTTCGTGGGGGCGTTTTGGGCCGTCTTGGGGGGCTCTTTCGCCGTTTGGTACCATTGGGGGCGGGGCCGGCTTGAGCCCTCTTCGGCCGCCTGCGGGCCCTCTTGAAGGCCCTCTTGAGGGCTTATTGGCCCGTCTTGGAGCCATTTCGGAGGCTTCTTGGGCCGTCCTGGGGCTCGGGGAGTCGACAGGCGAGAACGCAAAAATGTTTCAAAACCCAGTGGGAAATCAATGCTTTTTGTTTCTGGCAGTCCTCTCGGAGGTCCTCTTGGCGCCCTCTTGGGGCGTCTAGGTTTTTTTGTTGGGCCCTCTTGGGGCCATCCTGTACCGTCTTGGTCACGTCGTCGCGGGGCCTCTTGGGAGCCTCCTGGGTGCCTCCTGGAGGCCTCTTGGGAGCTTCTTTGGGCCTCTTGGGGACGTCTTTTGGGCCTCTCCCCCCTCCCTTTTTCTCATACTCCTTCCCTATCTCCCCTTCCAGCGCCAGCTCTAATCATGGGCGCCGCCGTGACCAACTTCCACATGGCTGGCGCTGCGCCGCACTTCGCCCAGAGGGGGAAACATGACAGTACACTCCAGTTGCTGTGTGGGGTTTGGGGGGTTTCCATGGGGCCTTTTGGAAGCTTCTTGGAGACTTCTTCGAGGCCTCTTGTGGGCTTCTTGGGGCCCCTCGGGCGGCTCTTGGGGGCCTCTTGGGGCCTCTCGGGGGCGTCCTGGGCCGTCGTGGGGTGTTTTTCTGCTGTTTCGCCCCTTCGGAGGCCGTCTTCGGGGCCTCTCGCGGCCGCCTCGGGGCCCTCTTGGCGTCCTCTTGGGCCGTCTTAGGGGCCTCTTGGATTGTTTTGGGGGCCTCTTTGGGCCGTCTTGGGGCCCTCTTGGGCCGTCTTGGGGCCCTCTTGGGGACTTTTTGTGTTGTTCTGGGGCGATTTTGGAAGCTGTTTGGGCCGCAAAGGCGAGAACGCTGCAATATCGCCAGAACCATCGGACGATCTATGATTTCGGCCTCTGGAGGCGCAGTTGTGGGCGCTGTTGGGGCCCTCTTGGGCCGTCATTGTTTTTTTTGGGGCCCTCTTGGGCCCGCCGTCTTGGCGCCCTCGTGGCCCCCCAAGAGGCCCCAAAGGTCAAACCATCAATGTTCTAAAGGTTTTGGTAGGTTTTTGAGCCCCGGGAGGGGGTCGCCACTTTGGGTCGACGGATGAGGCGTAGCCCCTGGGGGGGGGTTAGGGGGGGAGACATAAGAATGTAACACAATACGATATGTTGCAATTATGCAACCTTTGGATACATAGGATACGTTGCATTAAGGCGTTCGCCGGAAAACGCTGCCGCTCAGCACGTCACCTCCAGACGTAGATTCCTCTCGTTTCGCGGGGTGCACGTCCGGAGCACGTACAGTCACGTCGTCACAGAGGCCTCTTGGGAGCCTCCTGGGGGCCTCCTGGAGGTCTCTTGGGAGTTTTTTTGAGCCTCTTGGGGGCTTTTTTGGGGCCTCCCCCCCCCTCCTGTTCATACTCCCTCCCCGTCTTCCCTTCTGGCGCCGGCTCTAATCATGGGCGCCGCCGTGACCAACGTCCACCTGGCTGGCGAGCGCCGCAGTTCGCCCAGGGGGGAAAAAATATAATTATACTCCAGTCGTTGTGTGGCCTTGTGGAGGCTTCTTTGAAGCCTCTTGGAGGCTTCTTGGGGACTTCTTGGGGGCCTCTTGGTCTTTTTTTGGGGCCCCTTGGGGGCTCTTGGGGGCCTCTCGTGGCCTCTTGGGGGCGTCTTGGGCCGTCTTGGGGCGTTTTTGCGCCGTTCCGCCCCTTCGGAGGCCGTCTTGGGGGCCTCTCGCGGCCGCCTTGGGGTTCTCTTGGGGTCCTCTTGGGCCGTCTCAGGGTTTTTTTTGGACCGCCTTGGGGGCCTCTTTGGGCCGTCTTGGGGCCCTCCGGGGCCGTTTGGGGGCCATTTTGGGGGCCTTATTTGTTTTTTTGTGAGAATTTTGGTGGCTGCCTGGGCGGCCATGGGCTTCGGAGAGTCGAGAAAGGGGAGAACGTTAAAATCATGAAACAACTATAGGGAAATTAAGGATTTTGGTTTCTGGAAGGCACTCTTTGGCGTCGTCTTGGGGTCCTCTTGGGACGTCTTAGGAGTTTCTTGGGCCCTCTTGGGGCCATCCTGGACCGTCTTGGAGCCGTTGTCGCCCGTCTTGAAACCATATGGAGCCGTCTTGAGGCCTTATGGGGCCTCCCAGCGGGCCCAAAGTCCCGAATCATCGATTTTACATTGGTTTTGAGCCCCAAGGGTGGCCACTTTGGGTCGACGGATGTGGCGTAGCCCCTGGGGGGGGTTAGGGGGGAGACATAATAATGTAACTTAATACAATATGTTACAAGTCTGCAGTCTGTGGATACATAGGATACGTTGCATTTAAGGCGTTCGCCGGAAAACGCTGCCGCTCAGCACGTCACCTCCGGACGTGGATTCCTCTCGTTTCGCGGGGTGCACGTCCGGAGCACGTACAGTCACGTCGTCGCGGGGCCTCTTGGGAGCCTCCTGGGGGCCTCCTGGAGGCCTCTTCGGAGTTTCTTTGGGCCCCTGCGGGGATGTCTTTGGGGCCTCTCCCACCCATCCTTGTCATACTCCTTCCCCATCTTCCCTTCCGGCGCCGGCTCTAATCATGGGCGCCGCCGTGACCAACTTCCACCTGGCTGGCGCTGCGCCGCAGTTCGCCCAGGGGGAGAATGACAGTATGCTCCAGTCGTTGTGTGGTCTTGTGGGGGCTTCTTTGAGGCCTCTGGGAGGCTTCTTGGGGACTTTTTGGAGGCCTCTTTGTTTTTTTTGGAGCCCCTGCGGGGCCTCTTGGGGGCCTCTTGGGGGCGTTTTGGGCTGTCTTGGGGCGCTTTTGCGCCGTTCCTCCCCTTCGGAGGCCGTCTTGGGGGCCTCTCGCGGCCGCCTTGGGGTTTTCTTGGGGTCCTCTTGGGCCGTCTCAGAGGCTTTTTGGACCGCATTGGGGGCCTCATTGGGCCGTCATGGGGCCCTCCTGGGCCGTTTGGGGCCCTTTTTGTTTTTTGTTTTTTTTTTTTTCTGCGAATTTTGGCGGCTGCCTGGGCGGCCATGGGCTTCGGAGAATCGAGAAAGGGCGAGAACGCTAAAATCGTCAAACAACTATAGGACAATTAAGGATATTGGCCTCTGGAGGCACTCTTTGGGGTCGTCTTGGGGCCCTCTTGGGGCGTCTTAGGAATTTCTTGGCCCCTTTTGGGGCCATCGTGGACCGTCTTGGGGCCGTTTTGGCGTGTCTTGAAGCCAGATGGAGCCGTCTCGAGGCCCGATTGGGCCTCCCAGAGGGCCCAAAGTTCCGAATCATAGATTTTACAGGGATGTTTTGGTACGTTTTTGAGCCCCAAATGGGGGTCTCCATTCTGGGTCCACGGATGTGGCGTAGCCCCTGGGGGGGGGGGGGGGTAGGGGGGACCGGTAATAATGTAACGCAATACAATATGCGGCAATTATGCAACAGTTGGATACATTGGGTACGTTGCATTATCGCCTCCGCAGAAAACGCTGCCGCTCAGCACGTCACTTCCAGAAGTGGATTCCTCTCGCTTCGCGGGGTGTGCGTCCGGAGCACGTACAGTCCAGTCGTCGTGGGGCCTCTTGGGAGCTTTTGGCGGCTTCTTGGAGGCCTCTTGGGGGCCTTTTGGGGCCTCCGGGTTTTTTTTGGGGGGCCTGTTGGCGCCCCTGCGGGGCCGTCTTGGGCCGTCTTGGTGCGTTCTTGCGCGGTTTGGCCCCTGCGGGGGCCGTCTTGGGGGCCTCTCGGGGCTCTCTTGGCAGTCTCATGGCGTCCTCTTGGGCCGTCTCGGCGGCCTCCTGGAAGTTTTTGGGGCATCTTTGGGCCCCGTTGGAGGTTTTTAAGCCCGTTTGGGGGCCCTCTTACATCAAACGAAGAGTTGGTCACGGAAGTGCAGGGGTTGCCCCCGGTGAGACGTCCATACTTACATGAGGGGCGTGTAACATGAACGCATTCCCGTTGGGCAGTATCACAGGAGAAGGGGGATGAGGAAAGTCGGACGAGAGCAAGGAGGATGACAAATAGCAGGAAGAGAAGCAGCAACGGCAGGAGGTATTAGTGAAGCAGAACGAGATGGACGGCATCACGTGGTGCACATGGTGCTGTCGGTTTGACTGTCATGTGTTTCTCTTACGCTGTGGGTTGCTTATCCACCAGCACCAACGATCTTCCGAGCATCTGGATGAGGCAGGACGCCGAGGTCAGCGACTTCACAGGCAATCGAGAATGCAAGACACCGACCGAGAATCTGGGTGACGGCCAGTGGAAGCATATTCAGGCCGACAACCAGCCCCGACGATGTCCACCATCCAGTTGCGCTGCCGCGCGCCTTCGCCACCGCGCTCGGGCGATCGGGGAGGGGGGAGCCTTGGGGGGTGGAGGAGGGGGGACGGTCCATGGAACCTCTCCCCCCCACGAATTGTACTCGGTAGGCTAAAAACGCAGGGACCTGGCCACAAAAATGAACGCATCTTGGGCTCGATGTGTCGGGGGGCCTTGACCTGCCTCGCAAGAGGCTAGAGGGCCCGACGCACACCAACCGCTGCAAGCGCGGTGGCGGCTACGTGTGACCTTTTTGGGTCCCACGCCCGGCCTCCTCGTCCTCCTCCTCATCCTCGCTGCCGTCCTGTTTGGCCTCCTCGCCCTCCCCGGCGGCCTGCGGACCGTCGGCGTCGTCCTCCTCTGCCTCCTCCTCCTCCCCCTCGAGCTCCGCCGCCACCGCGCCCTCCTGCTCTGTCACTGGGGCCTCCTCCCCGCCCTCCCCCGGTGCCTGGCCGGACCCGCGCCTCGGCCGCAGGTTCCCTCTGGAAGCGCATGACCGGCAGCCGGTGAGCGCCCCGTGTGCCCCGCGCTGGGCGTGGTCGCTCCCGGGCCTGCGCGGACCCAGCGTGTTGACGTCCCTTTTACCAGGCGGCTGGTACCAGGGGCGGACAGCCAGCCCAGGGGCGGGGCACTACACGTGTGGGGATGACACGAGGAGGAGGAGGAGGAGGAGGAGGAGGAGGAGGAGGAGGAGGAGGAGGAGGAGGAGGAGGAGGAGGAGGAGGAGGTCTTCACCGACATTGGCGCGTAAGCCGCCCGCGTGAGGTCGCGCGTGAGCGCCCCCGCTTCCAGTGTCACGTGCCTCGCTGGCGGCCCACGTAAGCCGCGGCGTCAGGTCGGCATGCCATCTCGCGTAAGGCCCGTTTCTCTTCGTCGCTCATATGTGCCCAAGGTTCCAGTCGCCCATGCCCTCGACGCGGCTCCCAGGGCGAATGCGCCCAGTGCCCGCCCCTCGGCCAGGTATCCGCCCTTCTCTGCCTCCGCCGACGGACTCGCGCAGGCGTGGCACGGCCGGCCGCGTGCGGGCACAGCTGCCCGCTCTTGGACTGTTCCTCAAAAAGTCGGCTTGATGATTCTGCGGCCACCCCCCATTTCCCCTTCCCTCCAACCGTCCCCCCTCCATCCCCGCTCCTTGTCCTTTCCTCCAGCTGCCTCGACGCTTCGCCGCCGCTGCGCCGCTGCCCTTCTCCGCGAGGCCGCTGTCTTCGGGGTCCTCTCTCGCTTCGGGAGGGCTGTCCCGCGGCGGGGATGCGGCCGTGCGAGCGCCGCGCTGTGCCACTCCCGGCTTTTCTCTTGAGGGGGGTCCCTTCGACGCGCGCTCGCCTGGGCCTCCTCAAGTCGGCTTGCTGATTCTGCGACCACTTGCGCGCCCTACCCCCACGTGTCCAGACGACGCTGGGGTATCGGACGCCCCGCTGGGGTTCTTTTTTTGCAGGGATCCCTGGAGATGTCCCCCCCCCACACCATCAGCGTCAACACCCGACGCAGAGTCATGGCGGGCATGCTAGCTAGCATTGTGCACTGCGCGTGCATCCGCAATCACCTTGCGTTGGTTCTTGGCAAGGATGGTGCGCCTGCACGCAGCGGGCAACATGATGCTCCCTCTGCCGTCCCTGTCAGACAGCAGTGAATATCTCGGGACGCCCGGACATGCTTTCGATTCTGCTGCGACCTGCATGTGGATATGCTTCTTTGTCAGGGACGTTTTGGGGGGGATCGGCACTGGGTCCGAGGCGGGAATTTATACATAACCGCCGCCTGGAGGATCAATTCTCGGGGGCCACGGCAAGCGGTGGATATGGACATATTCGGGGCCCTGGGGGCCAACATATATATATATATATATATATATACATATCCACCGCCCGCTGGGGCACCAGGACGTCGGTTCCCAGGCGGTGGATATGGATAGATTCCCGCCTCGCACTGGGGGGGGGGTGCCTGTTCATGACGAGCAGTGGGAGCCCCTTCCCGAATGGGAGGGGGGGTGGGGTGGAAAAGCAAAGGCGCTGGCGGGATCATTCACCTCGCGGGCGGGTGCTGGCGGGTGCCGCGCCCTCGCGGGCGCCTTCCTCCTCCTCCTCCTCCTCCTCCTCTTCCTCCTCCTCCTCCTCCTCCTCCTCCTCTTCCCCCTCCTCCTCCTCCTCCTCCTCCTCCTCCTCCTCCTCCTCCTCCTCCTCCTCCTCCTCCATCCTCCTCCCGTTCATCTTCCTCCTCCACCTGCTCTCTCGCAGAAGGATCAACTGCCCTCGCCCTCCTCTCCACTCTCTACCGCCTCCTCGCTTGTCGTCGTCCTCCTCCTCCTCCTCATCTCCTTCCTCCTCCTCCTCCTCCTCCTCCTCCTCCTGTTGCCCTTCGTCCTCCTCCTCCTCTTCCTCCTGCTTTTTTTCCTTCGAAGAAGAAGGATAAGCAGCTGCACGCACACATAAAAAACTGTTGGGGCCGCCATGGGCCATACCTCGCGCGTGTCGCGCGGGGGGCCTCCGCGCGTTGGGCCGCGGAGCCAACTGGGAGGGACGGCGAGGCACCCGACGGCCATGGCCTCACGAGGCCAAAATCGTTGATTTTCACATGTTTTTTTTTTAAAATGTTTTTTGCTTTCTCACTTCTCCAGCTTTCCGACGCTCCAAGACTGGTTCCCACGGGAGCCCCAAGACGGCCCAACAGGACCCCAATGGAGCCTCATGACGGCCCAAGAGAGCCTCTAGACGGCGCAGGAGGCCCCCCCCCGCGGGCCCCAAAACGGCCCAAGAGCCGCCCAAGACGGCCCAAGAGGCCCCCAAGACGGGGAGGACCCGAATGGACTGTGCGGGCCCTCGGCCCCAAGAAGCCCCCAGGAGCCCCAAGAGGCGCCCAGGAGGCCCCCAAGCAGCCCCACAGGCCTCCGAGAACCCCCCCAGAGAACTCCGAGAGGCGATCCGAGATGGCCTCACGAGGCCAAAACCAATGCTTTTCACTTGTTTTTGTCCGTAAGGGCTTCGCCCCCTGCCGCCGGCCCCCTCTCTCGGAGAATGGGCCATGGAAGAGCTAAGTCATGAGGCCTTGGCGCTGTCGTGAAGCAGTATCGAAACTTCATGCGAAGCCGATTCGCAATCAGCAAAACCAACTGATCACAAGAGGGGTTACCACACCTGGCGATTGGTAAGACGTGTATGGTTTACGGGCTTGGTTACCACACCTTGCGATTAAAGGGCCGAGGGAGTTCTCGCAGTTTGGGTTACCACGCCTTGCGATGGATGTGCGTGAAGGGTGGCACCGAATTTCAGAAATGTGGCAAATCCCCTGTGTTTTTGGACCCTGACCCCGCGGATCTGCGTGAGGGGTGGCACCGAATTTCCAAATCCCCTGTGTTTTTGGACCCTGACCCCGCGGATCTGCGTAAGGGGTGGCGCCGAATTTCAGAAATGTGGCAAATCCCTGTGTTTTTGGACCCTGACCCCGCGGATCTGCGTGAGGGGTGGCACCGAATTTCAGAAATGTGGCAGAAATGTGGCAATCCCCTGTGTTTTTGGACCCTGACCCCGCGGATCTGCGTGAGGGGTGGCACCGAATTTCAGACATGTGGCAACTCCCATGTGTTTTTGGACCCTGACCCCGCGGATCTGCGCGAGGGTTGGCACCGAATTTCAGAAATGTGGCAAATCCCGTGTGTTTTTTGACCCTGACCCCGCCGATCTGTGTGAGGGGTGTCGATTTCGAGCCCCCCCAGCAATTCAGACAACGCGCCCAGGAGGTGCTAAATATCTGGTTCGGGCCTCCCCCCCCCTCGCGCGGTCAATCAACTAGTTACAGTAACCAGCAAGAAGCAGCACTGTAACACTGGAAACTACAAGTTACAACTGGTACAGGACACTGCGATTCCCGCTCCTCCAGCCTGGTGGCCCCACAAGGGGGCCGGCGGACTATGCTTTTTGCTTTCTCGCTTTTCCAGATTTCTGACGCTCCAAGACGCCCTTGTCAGAAAAGCCCGAAAACTTTCATATAGACATAAGAAGCAACTGTAGAAACAACACACACACACACACCAAAACTGTGTTCCGGGCGGGTTATCACGAATTGCAATCTCTAGGGTTTTGCTAGATCGCCCCTGGGGGCCCCGCACATGGCCTAACGTTTGCCGCGAAGTTGTGTTTAGTTGCACACGTGACAGTTGCCATTATCACCATTGTCTGTATCACACCGTGTTGTGTATGGCCCAAGACTGAGTCCATTTGATCACCACTTTACCTACACGCCTCCTCGTCCGGTTGCGCACAGTCAGCGCGAGGCTCATGACTAACCAGAAGGCACATTGGCTCACGTGCCTGGTGGGGCTGTTTGTCCACAGGGTGCCAACCGTAATTTCTCTCCATTCTGGTTCGGATGTTGCTGCGACGGCTACAGTGGCATCGCTAGCAAATGCTTCCAAGTACCATCATGCAGACATGCTCTCGTCGGAACAGGTCTTCACCTTCACTGGGAGCGACCAGTATTATTACACGCAGGGCCACACTCAGTTCCTGGTGAAGGCCTACGGTGCTGGCGGAGGGAACTTTTTGAGATCAGGAACGGAAGGTGGGGTTGGAGGTTACGCCGAGGCCGTCATCATTGTCCCTGCGGGCACGGACCGCTTGACGGTCGTCGTCGGGGAAGCCGGCGCCACTTGGGGAGACGATTCATCTCCAGACCCTTGCTACCACAACGCCTTCGGCGGCGGCGGCAGGTCTGCCTGCGACAGTTACAACACAGCCGGAAGTGGGGGTGGCCGTTCGAGCGTCAGGCTCGATGGTGAGGACATCCTCACTGCGGGTGGGGGCGGAGGTGGCTCGGGTAAGTGGGCGGCATCCGTCGAGTGCAAGGGGCCAGGAGTCGAAGAACACCTCAACTGCACAAACATGGACCTTCGGATGTCCGTGCGGATCTCTTTTGGTCGGCGCTGAGCCCCCTCGCGGCAGCTCCGGCGCTGCCCCTGGCTCGTGCTGCGCGCCGGGGGAGGGGGTGGGGGGCCCGGCGCCGACCCACGCATCCCGCGCGGACCTCCAACAGTTTAGACTGTCTGTGCAGATGTTGGGTTCCTCCAAGGAGGGAGCGGTGGCGGAGAGGCTGGCGGGACCGACTGCGATTCTTCTCTGCTCTCCGGCCGGGGTGGCACGGCCTCCGCCGGGGGCGCGGGGGGAGTCGGCATCGAGAGGACGGGAGGCGCTGGCGGGAAATACAAAGGCGGTGACGGGTCTTCAAGCTCGGGCTGGAGCGGCGGCGGCGGCGGTGGCGGCTACTACGGAGGCGGGGCCGGAGGAGGGCAGCATGCTTGGCATGGCAGCGGCGGCGGCGGTTCCGGATTCGCGGCGCATCCATCCGTGGTCTATTCGGGTGTCGATTTAGTGACTGGCGGAGGTGCCTTGGCCAGCACAAATGGCAACGTCACTATCATGGTCTATCCAGCTGCCTGCGGCAGACCTGGTCCCTCGTCCCTCCTTCCCCCCGTCCTTTTCGATTTTTAAGGAATGGGCGCGGGTCCAGGATTCTCTTCAAGTTTGCAAGTCTGTTTCCTGGCCCCTCGATTGAGGTGGGCCAGCTCAGCGGATTTCGCCTCCATGCAAAACGAAACGAAGTGCCATTTTCAGGGGGTGGACAGAACCCCCACCCTGACACGTAGATTAGTGAGTTGTCCGCTTTCGGTTCTCGAGAGAGTTCTGCGGCCGTCATTTGCCAGGCTTGCGCCCGCCAGGTTTGGGCCCGAGGTTGTTTTCACTGAGCCACGTTTTGCTAAAGAGGGTTTTGTCCATCCCCGAATGTTCAGTCGAATGAATACGTTTTCTGCGTGCCCGCTCAGGGCAAGTACAGCCCCCATGTCGGATCCTCGAGAAATAATGGGGTCCGCAGACCTTTTCTTTACCATGAAAACAGGCGCGCGGCGTTTGCGCAGAATCCAGGTGAGGGTTGTGTAAAAATGTTAGCCAGCGTGGACCCCACACATTGTGTTTCTAGCAATATATGTTGTACAATCGATGCTGCACAATCTGTATGATGCAGTATCTGCGGCGCAGTTCATATATATATATATAATATAGACATATAGACGTGTGTATGGTACAGTCTATGCTGCGCAATGTAGGTGGACACATGCATGCGTTGACATATATGTGGTGCAAACTGCTTTGTGCAATATTTGTTGCAGGATCTAGGTTGTGCAACATACGTTGTGCAGTATAAGTTGTGCAATCTTTGCTGGGCTTTGTAATGTGGTGCAACCTATGTGGACCACTGTATGATGTCCAATGTGAATAGGTGGAACAATAGATATGGTGCACTCTTCGTGGTGCAGCACCTGTGTCGCAACATATTATGTGCAAAATGTAAGCATGTATGTCTGTATGTATATACGCATGCATGCATGCATGTACCTATGCATGTATGCATGTATGTGTGTGTATGTATGCATGCATGTATGTATGCATGTATGTATGTATGTATGTATGTATGGATGCATGTATGTATGTATGTATGTATATATGTACGTAGGTATACATGTATATTTAGTGTAACCTAGTTGGCACACTATTTGTGGTGCGGTCAGTGTTGTGCAAACGATGTGGTGCGCAATCTGTGCTGTGCGCCCTGTGTCAAGCAAAGTCTGTGGTGCAATCTACGTTGCGCAATGCAGTGAGCGGCTTGGATATGGAACATTTACTTTCCAAAAGGGGCTCGGTCGTTCCTCAGGCTTGCATGCGTGATTCCTCGCTCCTTGCGCGCCATGCATTCTGTGTCTTTCCTTACGCGTTATTCCTTGAAGGGAAAAGGGGCGTCGTTCCTTATTCATCGTTCCTTTGGTCAGGCCGATGACTGTATCTTGTGCTGTTTCCTCCTCTCCACAAGCCAGTGCCCTCCGCTCACCGCCCTGCGGCTCAGGGCCCCCCTCGGGGGCCACGGCCCGGGCAGGCCCTCGGGTCCCCCCGCAGGCCCACCGACCCAACGCAGGCGCCACGCCCGCGGGCCCCGCGCGCCAGACGAACAAACGAGCTCCCTGTGGTGATCGTTTTTTAAAATCACTGTTTTGCCGATCGGCGCGGGCCCCCGCCCCAGCCTCCCTCCCCCCCAGTGGAGAAGATCTTCGCTGTTTTTTTTTCAATCGCCTGTTTCGAGCAGGTGGAGTCTCCCCCGTAGGGCGCACTGCCCCACACAGTCGCAGGAAGCAGCGGTCCGGAGCCAGACCCCCCCCTCCCCTTCGCCCAACTGACTGGTCCACCACCAGCTGGCCATCACATTCAGGTTTTTGTTGTGGTCGGTAGTTCTGCTGCCAGTCAACCAGGTTCGCTATTTAAGGCCAGTTGTCCCGTTGTTGTTGTGGTATGGTATGATATGCGGTGTATTGCGGTGATACGCATTGCAAAGCGATGGGGAGTTCTGGCATCCACGCCATTATATGTTTTGCTATGCGATGCGACGCGATGATGTCCGATGATAGTCCAGGGCAGTGTACGCGATTCGGTGATGCCGTATAAAGCAATACTTTGCGATTGCTTGTCAATTGCTTGCTACGTGTTGATATAGTGTAGTATGTAATGCTATGGTGTGTCGCGGTATTGTATGGTATGATGCCATATGTTAGATTGTGCTCTGCTGCGTGGCGTTGCGCGGTGATTTGTTATGCGGTGACATGCGGTTTACTTTGTTATTCGACGCGCTGATAAGCGATGCGATGCATTGTGCTGTAGCCAGTTGAACCATTTTCAATTATATATTGTAGATAGGGCGCTCTACGACCCAAATCACTCTACCTTCCGTGTCGCACGTTATTGCAGATTGAATGCGCGCGAGTAAACGCTTGGCTCAAGAGTGGCTCAACGCACCCGGGGAAAGCAGCGTCGAGGGGATCTACTGCACGGGATGGTGTTGGCTGCGCCGCTGCTTCGCTTTTGGCCCCAGTCACTGGCGGGAAAGCAGGCCAAACCTAGGCGATTTCAGGGGAGGGCGAAAACGACTGCCACGCGGGCGACCTCGCCGCGAACGCTGCTCGTGAGGAGGTCGACGGAGACCCACGCGCGGAAAGCACGATTTCCAAGCTTAATTTCCTCGCCGTGGAAAGTTGCAAGGGTTCGCAGACTATGTCGCGAAAGTGTTCTCTTTCGGACGACGCGCGGCAGCTGTTTGATGGCGCTTTGTCCGAGGCAGAGCATCTGGAACGCCATGCGCGTCGTGGAGGCTTCTGCATCCGGCGCGACTCGCAGAAACGCCCTACGTTTTGAGCGGCGCGTACCCTCTGCGAGGGCAGGTCGTGGTTGGCGCGAGGCGTGAGCCGCGGCACGTCCCGAAAGGCTGCCCGCGTCCGCGACGGGGCAAGCCGCGCGCCAGATCCGGCGGCGATGCAAGTGAACATAATGCGAACGCGCCAGCGCCGACATCTCCAAGCGACGGCGGAAGTCTCGAGGAGGAACATCCGCAAGGCGCTGCTCCAAGCGACCTCCATCTCTCTGGTTACAGATGAGTCGAAATATAGGAAAATAATTCGATTTCGCGCCGACCACATTGCTGCGCCAAAAAGATTCATGGCTTGCGCTCGAGCAACGCCTGTGCCTCGGCTTCCTGCGTCTCTGGCGCGTAGGGCCTCTTGGGCTGTTCGAAGTGGAATGCGCATGACTTCGATGAGGGCCGCGCTGTCGCCGTTAAGCAGCTGGGTGAATTTCTGACGAGGTTCTGCGCGCCGCGTAGGAGAATTGCGGGTCGCGGGGGAGCGCGGCCTCTGGCGTGCGATGCGGGACTTAAAAGCGCGCTGAAAACGGCCACTTACTCCCATGCCGATGGCGCGCCCAAGGAGCGGCGCGCAGCATTCCTAGCTGATCGCGCTCTGTTTCAGCGCGCCGCGCACATTGCTTGCAAAGCGATGCGCTGCGACGGCGCGTTCGGGGGGGGTGCGGGGCGAGCTGTTCCATGGGCGGCGCTCGTTGGTCCTTGATTTGATAAATTCGAACAAGTGGCAGAATCTCTCGGCGCCATCGGGGGGGGGGGCAGCGCGCGCGCGGTGGCAGCGCTTGGACAGCCTGGGGGGGCCCAGCCGCTGGCGGGGGTCGCGCGGAACCTGGCCACTGCCAAGCGACGCCTCGATTCCGCGGCGGGCCCCGTGCTGAGGGTCGCTCGTGCTTTTGCCAGTGGCAGCCTTGCTAGCGCGCGTCGCGTCTGACCGCCGCCGCGAGCGGGGGCGGCGCGATCGGGCGAGCGCCTTGTTGCGGACATTCGATGCTGAGTTCTGCATGGCCGCTGGCGTTTCGGTGGACTGGGAGGCCGTGTGCAATTGGTTATTGCGGCTCTTCGACGTCGCCAGCCGCGGCGCTGCAAAGTCGCGTTCTGTGGTCGACTGCGTGGTCGATGCGTTTGACGCGGTCTTGATGGGAGGGCGGGCGTTCCAGTCGGTTCTCCGGGCAGCCACCATCGAAACTGCAGTCTCTCGCGCGACGCCCCCGGCTGCCGAGGGGCCGCCGCCGCGTCTCCGCGCGGAGGCTCACCGCCAGGCAGGTTTCATCGCAGGGGCAGTCTTGCGCAATCTTTGGCGCAGGTACGCGTTCTACGCGGATGGCGACCCCGCAGCGCCGCGGGGGGGGCCATCGGCGGCGCGCAAGGAGGAGCTCCTCCATCGACTGCAGAACGTGGCCATCTTGACAAAAGAGCGCCTGCTCGCGGATTTCCCGAGGGCCGGCGTCCGCTCGGCGTTGGCGACGTTTGATCGGCTTCTCGCGCAGAAAGGTTTCGGCCCGCAGCCCGACGTGGAAGCGCGGCGCCCCCTGTCGCGGGGCGCGCCCCAGCTCGCGGCCCTCCTCGGCTGCGACGAGCAGACGGCGGCGTTGCAGCGCAGCGGCGTTCCCCCGAACATGATCGAGCAGATGGAGCCGCCCCCGCCACCTGGCGGGGGCAACTAACCAGCAGGCGCGGGCTCGCTTGCTCGACGATGATTATTGGGGGGTGGCTCGCCCGAATCGACTCTGCGGGGCTCATCGCGTGCTTTGCCGCCTAATGCGTTTTTACATCTGCATTGGAGATGGGGGGCGCGCCGTCGAGCGCGACCTAGCTCAAGTTCGGGGCCGCGACCTCGCTCGCCGCGCTGACGACGACTTTCTCCGCGACGACGGCTTGATCGTTGAGCTTAACGGGCCGAAGACGGCGACGGAGTTCGACGGTGGCGCGGCTCGCTCTGGACAGGGCTCGACGTTCTTCTCCAGGGAATGCGCCGGTCTCTGGCGGGAGCTGTTCGGCCGCCGGCGCGGGCGTTGCAATCCTCGCGCTCGTGCGGCGGCAAAGTTTGAGTGGCGGAGTGCGCTTGGCCTTGGCCGCGGACGTTGTCTGGCCGTCCTCGAGGCTGCCGGCCTGGCCGCGATTGCATTGCGTCTCAGACGGGGGCGCGCCTCCTCGACAGCGGTGCATTCTGGCGCTGGAACTGAGGGGGGCGCGCTGT